CACATTCCTATTCAAATCCAACAACCCCAATCATTCTTTTAATTTGACGCCCTCAATTTCTGATTCTGGGCGGGGGGGATACCCCCCCAAATTAAACAAGTGCTACGATTGGGAGGACTTGAAGCTAATTCCAATTCTGAAATTACATGGTATGTTCATGCAAGATGTTTCTGTTCCATCTGCTCCGCATGAGTTGTAAAGAAAATGTTCTGTTGAGATCGAATCCGCATCATTCGTAATTCTTGCAATCGAGCCAAAAATGTCTGAGTGGGTTGAACGTTGATGCAATGAACCTCAACACGTGAAGCCGTACAAAAAAAAAAACTGATAGCAAGCTGATGCTTGAACACTGCCATGACGAACCCCTCAAGCGTCTGTCATTGCATCTAAGAGTCATTCAAACCACAGCTTGCTGTAAGGCCCACGCAAACTGTCTGAGGACGGCCCTCAAAAGACCAAATTGGTTGGAAGCCGAGAAACAGTGCATAACACTCTTGGTTAAGGGCCACCCTACACAATACCTTCTGTTCCTATGCACTCCCCGGATACGCAATAGCTGTAGAATTACAGTGAAGCGCTTTTGCTGGCCCATGTGATTGAGCCAGCCCCCAAAAACAAGCCATTCCCATGAAACCCTACAAAACCCCGAACATAATGGTAAGCCGTTCACTATGCTGAGTACATGTCTCTTTTTGTGTCCAAGAGCAAAGCAATGTGGTAATACCCACCACCGAAAAACATGAACTTCATACTGTCCCCAAACCTCTGTCAAGCATCTCGAAACAAGTTGAAACACTCTGCAACAATAAATACTACACAGCTTCTCACCTCAGCGCGAACCGCGCTTGACAAACGCCCACAATCTGCAACCAAAACCCATACGCGCTCCGGTAGAGGTTCTCTGGGAAGGCTTTGTGAGGAGAAAGTGCTGTTGGGTAAAAGTTGCAGAAAGTACTCAAAATGCGCAAAAATCCTTAGTTTCCGTACGGTGCATCTCATTACGGCTATATCGCGCGCGCAGCGCGACGGTGCGTAGCCGATTTGGGACCCTGCGCAGAAATATTGCATTCTACTGGTCAAGGAGGGCTCAGCATACGGAGCGGAACTGTATACGACATGCATTTTGTCCCACTGCGCGCAATGTTTTTGCATCAAGGTTCCCCCTTTCCTAGACGTCCTCCCACTGGGCGCAGTGTTTCTGGTACTTGGATGCACTTGCAACACGAACGTTTTTATGGCTTGGGCATGGATCGTCTGGTAATGGATGTTCTGGTAAGTTAATACTCCCGAACGTGAACGTCATTATGGTTTGGGCAGGGATGCTTTTGGTAATTGGACGCTCCCGAACGTGAATGCGGTGTTTTTGCATGCAACTGAAGCGAACGTAATTACCCCCCACCCCCCACCACGCCCCCCCCAAAAAATATTCCAAGCCAAACCAAACTTGACGCGGTCGATGAGACCCGGGCTGTGGGAGAACCCTAGCCGCTGGGCGAAACCATAACCGCCCAAAAACCAAAACCCGTGCTCAAATCTTACGCTGTGAACACAAAACCCTCAACCTTAAACCATGCAACAAGCCTGAAAGAAGCTCTCCAGATCAAGGTGCTTCCAAGCCTTCCAAGCCAAACTTGGGCTTGGAGGCGCCCGACCGCTGGCACATAGGCATGCCCTCGCCGCACTGCCTAACAAAGCTTTTGGGTTTGCCGGGCTTTGAAAGTAGGACTTGAGGCTGGAAGATTGGGCATCGAGTTTGGGGCGCAGGGCTTACACCTATATCATGGGGCTTCATTGTGCAAATAATACTTTCGGGTAGCATGAGCTTTAATGCATGGACGAACACACACACATACACACGCGTGGAAAAACAGCATTCCTCGGGACAACACGCACAAACGTTCCTCCATACATCTGCGTGTGGGGCGCGCTTCACAATTTTTTGGGATCTGGAAAGGCTACAAGATTTCTGCACTGAAGGCCTCACGAATAGCTCTCTCCCCCACCCTCTCCCCCCTCTGCCTCCCCCCCCTCCCCCAGTCCTGGGGGGTGTTTGGCATTTGTGGTGCTCTGGAGCTCTGCTTGGTAACAAGTAAATCTGATTTTGGTTTGCTGGTCTACGTTTGTCGCCCTCCTGTGGGTTTGGCTTGCAGGTGGTTAATCGATCACAACAAGGTGACCGCATGTTCTTTCTGCTTCCCCTGTGGTCCCGTGGGGTGTTGGCGCTTGTGGTCCGAAGGGGTGATGTTTCGTGACTTGATGACAATCAGGCCTGGTGTTCCCCTCCGATCAGTGGCTGCAAACCCCTTTGGCTGCAGGTCTTGGAAGACGATGACACCCAAGAGGATTGTGACCTGGATGCCCACCATCCTTGTGACTGTACGCACTTTTAAGACCTTGAACATCCAAAACGATGACAGTTACGAGAATGGCGCATCCAAGGCCTGCAAAACGAGGACAGTTACGAGGATCGCGCATCTAAGGCCTTCAAAACGAGGACTGTTACGAGGATCGCGAGCTTGAAGTCCCCCAGCCCTGTGACTGTTGGCACTTTGGATCTATTCGACATCAAAAACCACGACAGTTAGGAGAATCGCAAGCTGGACACCCGCCATCCTTGTGACTGTTCACACTTTTGAGAGGCCTGGGCTCGGGGTCAGGGGACCATACCATGGGGGGGCAGGAGGGGGAGGGGGTTCAGAACGTGCGCACGCGATGCACCACAGCAAGGGGAGGCTCCTCCAAGAGCACACACAGACAACTCCATAACCATTCCAAGACCGATCCAGAACCCACTAACAGCAACAATCTGGCATCAAGCTGCAACAGGGGGCAACTTGCAAGAGCCCCAAAACCGGCCCAAATTCTGGTGCCAGATTGGGGGACAAGTGGACAGACCTACACTCAAGATGGAAAAACGCGACTGTGAAGTCGGCGGCGTTGAAACTTAACAGCACGCAAATCTTAACAGCGCAGAAATGGAACATTCTAAGTGGAAACATGGAGAAGTCAAATAACAACAAAACATGCGCTCGCAACATGAACGCATACGACAGAATATGTATGAGCAAATAAGTACATATAAGTAAATATAAATATATATATATATATAATACACACACGCAAACATCCTAAAACACACAGACATGCGGGGTTATCCAGTCTGTTGGTTTGTGGGTCACGCTCATTGAGACATTCAGCTTAAGAAGGGTCGCCAGGAGTAGGCAAAACCTGGGATGGGATTTCAAACCACCTGCTGCCAAGATCGAAAAGTTTGACTGAAGGCAATCTTCCAAAGTGTTTGAAAATTAAGGTTCGGCGATTGCAGCAGGGGAAAACTGATGAGCCTAGGCCCTGGGGGCTGATTGGGTATGGTATGTGGGAGATGCCTGAGAGCTTAGAGTCAGAACAGCAACAAAGTGCATTCAACAAGGTCTCGCTGAATTTGATTGTGACTTCGCGAGCACTCCCTCAAAGTGCCTTGGAGCCGTTCAGATTTTAAATGAGCTTCCGATGGTTTCAGAAGCCTCCACAGTTCGAAAACGGACCCCGAACGCGCACATGACATGCTCCTACCAGATGAAATGGACAAGCGTTGGGAATGATGTTGGATGCATGAATTTTGCAGCTTTCTTTGGTTAGCAGTACATCAGAAGATGGTCACATCATGCGCGGCAAATGAAGTTCCTTCCGAATTCCACATTGGGTTTCTTGCTGCTGCTGCTGCTGCTGGTGTGACTTCCAGTCTTCAAGGTTGCTTTGGCTCTATTTTGGGTTGCTGTTAAGGAATTTGGAACAAGCGACCATACTAATTATGGGCGTATTGAAAATAATGAGCTCTCTATTTTATAGTCATTGAAAAGTTCCTTAACAGGAGCCCAGTATTGGCTGCTGTTTGATGACGGCAGCCGATTTCAATCTGCAGCTCGAGCGCTTGTCATTCGCTCAATGTCCTGATCTACGCGACTCATCAAATGCATGTTGGCAAAATCCGAATGAACACTCGCACATAGCACAAGAGGAAATTCTGGCCTTCACAAACGATCCATCAAGCGTTTCTGGAAACTTTACTTGGCATTTCCCCCAATTCAAACTTTTGCTGCTTGCTCCAAAAAACTTTTTTCGGAACCTGCAACAATGCCCATCAACAACAAGATCCAAATCTGAAGCTGCTTGCCCCCAAAAAAAATTTTTGCAGAGCCCGCAACAATGTCCAGCAAAAAGAAACCCAGAACTTAAACATCACAGAGTGTCACAAGGTCTGAGTCTGAGCCATCGGCGAGGGGTCATGGCCCAAAGAGCACGAAGACGTTCCCATGCCAAAGCTAAAGGATGAAGTCGCGTCAACCCATGAAAGTTTCCTCAAACTTTTTCTATACAATCCTGGCCAGGGATCCCCACACGCCCGTTCCATCTTCACGTGTGTCCCAAGGGTTCCTAAGCCGCATCCCGTTTTCAACCCGTAGAGGCCCTGATCGTTAAACCCTGGAAGGTAGGACTGTGAGAATGTAAGTTGCTGTTAGGGAACGGACTTTTGGTCACACATGGGGCCTTCCAACACATGAAGGTATGCTCAAGACCCAAAAGATGTAGATACAAACAGTGACTATAAAAAGTTATAGCCTCCCTTTAGGGACTCCGCAGGGATCTTTAAAAAATGAATGCGCACGTCATGTTCTCAGCTAAGTGCGGCCGTCCCGTCTGACCGACACACGGCCCCATACTTCCTAAATTGCCAACAATAGGTGGTTGGAAGTAGAGAGCAACGCGCTGATGCTTCGGTACCGCGTGTTGCCTGCTTTCAAAGCCTGAAGTAGATGGCGGCCACGACCATGTTGCCGTGATGCGTGAGTTCAAGTCCCTGTGGCAAGCTTGCTCAAAGCAAGGCCTCAATCAAGGAATGGTCCGTTTGCACCCCTCGCCACAAACTCGCTTCTGCACTCTCATTTTGCATCGAAACGATTGGGGCAGTTGTAGTCTGGCATGGCTTTTTGCATGCGCATCTACTTCACTTTTTCCTCGTCCGTCGTGCCAATGTCCTGGCATACATATTGGCGCATGTTGGCGCTACATCATGCTTTCCCACGCACCATGCACAATCTACCGCAGCCTCCATGAAAACACAAGTGAGAAACACTGTTACCCTTTCGTTTACTGTCCATGTTCGAGGCCTGCGTGACGACAGCGTTGACGCTTGAAACCTAAACTATCTAAAACAAGCCAAGGGTCGAAAACAAGCGGTGCGTGGATACACTGGTAGTGTTCATTCATGGAGGAAGCATTGACAAAGTGAGTGGTGCCATCGAACGTGACACCTGAGTTGGCTTCCTTTCATGCCCCCCCGTGTGTTGGTTCATTTCAGTCCCCCCTAGTGAACATATGCTTTCCGCAAACGCGCAATCGCATCGCTTGTGCGATCGTTGATGGTGAATGTGGGGTCCTGTTAGTTTTCATCGTACAATGTAAAAGGTTACGTGAGCACGGCACTGCAAAGATTGGTGAGGGCTTGTTATACGGAATCTGAGGACCTTCACTTTGAGACAAGCCACCCGCACCCTCGTGGATGTGGCCGAAGACGCAGAACTGGGGCCGAATCCGGTCCTGCACTTGCGAAAGAAGTTCCTCAGCAGCTTCATTAGGGTTTCGGGTTGAGGGTCCAAGAGGAAATCGCGGCTATTGGCAATGAAATTTGAATGCGTCTCAAAATGGGGGGTATGTTCACAGATCCCTTTGGTATAGGAAGGTTCTGAAGTTCTTAAGACTATGACTATATGTGGGGGTATCGCTGAAGAAATGCCCATTTCTAGCCCGTTGAGGGCATATGGCAATTCCATACAATGCGCGCAACACAACTTGCCTTGCCCCCTGGAGTCCCCTGGAAGTCAAGCGACTGTTCTTTAGCAATGTGGTTTTTCATTATGAATGGGGATCTCGGTTGACTGGTATCTGCAGGCGGGGTGGGTTATAACCACGACAAAAAACAACAGGTACAGGGACGTCTGTGCTATAGGAGAACTGGCCTATCCCGACAGCTATCGCATGGATGCACCAGGACCAACTATGTACAAACGTGTTTGCCCAAGGATCCTTGCCTACCCCAACAGCCATCACATTGTCACATGGATGAACAATGACGTCCTGATGTTCGGAACGCCTGATTGCCCCTAAGGGACGTGAGCATCCGATGGCAGGAGACTTTTCCCTTCACAGGTAGAATGGGCTTTGCGTGGCTATAGTGTCTGCACCGTCCCATGCATCACGTGAGTAGTGTTTTCTTGGTGGTTGTAAGATAATATTCCTTACATAAGATACTATACCCCACAAGGAGGATATAATCTTACTCTATATTGGGTACCATAGTATCCCCAAATAAAATACTACTCACGTGACGTCCCTGCATACTCATTCCCTAAGGGTCCAAGTACCTAATAATCATGTACTTACCCAAAACCTGTACTATAATTACTATTACCCAAAACCCAAGTACCTAACTATTGGGTACTTGGACCCTTAGGGATTCTAACCAAGATTCAGCGCATCCCCTCCGCCGCAAGGATGGCAGAAGCGCATCGCCCCGGCCCAGGGGAGGGCCATGGACCTTGGGTTTAGGGTTTAGGGGGTTTAAGGTTTAGGGTTTAGGGTCTGCGGCCAAAATTCCAGAAATCAGACCTCTTCGGTTCAAGGCGCAGGAATGTTGAATGGTTGTTGCCATTATGGCAGAATGTTGGAAGTCTCCAGACAAATCCATGGGGGAAGTTCTGACATGCTTCAACTTGAAGCAAGGCACAACACCAAAAAAAGACTCTCACATCCAATAAGGATCTTGGAAGCCAAGGAAAATGTGGCCTATCAAGGGGTTGGGAGGTCCATTGAGTTTGCAGATTTTTGGGTATACAAAATCAGCAACCGCAAGCTACATGCTCATCAATAAGCAAGGGGCCAGCAAGACATCGACACCCGCGGGCACGGCCTGCGTCAGCTTCACAAAAAATCGATGAACAACCCTCACCATCAAATGCACAAAAAAATCACAAAACTCGTGGCGGAAACCATCCAATTTTTGTCCAAACGTTCAGCTGTAAAATGCCTTAGCTCGTTTTTCCCGCCCCTTCTGTATCTTATCCGTGTTGTGCCACGTGTGGAAACATATCTCGAAGCCTTGTCGGGTCGTAAGTTGAGACTGAAGTTCACCAATTTGCACCTGCACGCTCCTGAAAATCAGTGCTTCGATGGATGTTCAGCAGCTTCTTGAACGCTAGCACTCGACCACAAACGCCGTTCTGAAAAAACAACTGCAAATGTTTCTGAAGCGCCGTCGTCGTTATGGGCATTTGGGCTGCCCCGTGCCTTCCACTTCTCGCCAATTTCATTGCGAGGCATGTTGAAAGCCCAGTCCATGAATTCGGGCTGCCACGGCGTCCCGTATATTCGGATTCCACCTGAAGATCTGGAATGTTTGCATTCACGCTGGGCATGAAAGGGCCATCGGCGTTAGCAGCTGATATCAGCTGATCCTCAATGAATTCCTGCAGGAGAATGAGTGTGTGTACGGAATGCAACCAGGTGTCCTATCTCAATCTCAGCATCTTCGAGATATGTGACGCCATCCTGAAACGTCTGTCTGCAATGTTTCGGAGCCAAGAATCTTCGAACAAGTGGTTATTGGAGTCGCATTGTCTGCGCAACATGTGCAAGGCAAGCATCGCCCTCTGCCAACGAGGCCAGGAAAGCGGAACGGACGTCGCTGGCCCTGTCTTTGACCTGGCACGCAGCTCTGCACTGTGGCACAGATCCCGTGACATTGCAGGCTTGCCCAAAAGCAAAATGTTACTACAGCTTCAAGATTTGAATGGGTCTCAATCCACCTTGCCACCCCGGTAGCCAACATCCATTGGCAAATCATGGTTGCCGGCAATCCTGAGCATGACAGCTGCATGTGTACACACCCCTCCGTATGCAGGAACAACAAAACGTGACTGTCGCGCCTTTTCATTCGTCAACCTGAAATGAGCCGGCTTTCAGCACACGTTTCCAGCGGCCTTCAATGCAAAATAGAGCGTCAGAAGCTTGTGAGCATAGGGCAGCGATCGGATCCACGCAGCGAAGTCTAGCACCTGACGCACGTCTCTCCTAGCAAAGCTTATCTAGGCATCAGTGACTATGGCGCCCAGCCTCTTCCAAACCTCCATCCGTCGAAAAATCACCTTTTGTCGAAGTTAGGGGAAATATCGATGGAATCCCGAAAACAACACGACATCACTCACCGCTGTACTGCGCGTAGCCTGCATGCAGCAGGACATCGCCGGGAGGCAGCCTCAACATTGGATATTCTGGCAAATGCCCCACGCAGTGAAAACACTTACACAGTACCAACCCCGCTGACGCGCAAATATTCCTGCGAAGTTGCCGAGAAGACAATTCACGATGTTGGCCATGCGTGTCAGACAGGCACACGAATCGTAGATGCCCATGACGAAGCGGTGGTGACGAGCCACAACGGCCTGGGATTCAAATCGCTGCTCACCAAAAAGTGACATTTTTTGGCCGCCCCGCCCCCCCCCCCCACCCCCACCCCAGAGACCCTGGCCGTCTGCCACGAAGACTCGACTTGGTGGGACAAACCTGGGAGTGTGGCTGTTGGAGTGGTTGCTTCGAGCAATGCTTACGTTGGGCAGCTGTTGGGAAGGCTCCATCACGCGCCACATCCTCCCCATGTCGTCATCCTTTTCAATGGATGTGCCTGCCGCAATGCATCTACAGCGAAGGAAATGAGGCAGTCAAGTGAAACTTGCACACGTGCAGCGCATCGTGAACGCAAAGGTTGGCAACCTAAAACGCAACATCGCGGACGAAAGAAAAACCCTACAACTCTATGCTTTTGAGGTTGACGGTCGCAGACGGTCGCAGATCGGAACTGAAGCATAACCGTGCGAATTTTCCCCCACGGGTTCCCAAGGGCCTATGGCCAAGGCACTTGACTTCTCCAGAAGGGATTGAAAGTCAAGCAAGTCCTGAGCTGCATTCATGTACGCAGCGACCATCCAAACATAAAGCCGAACCCAGAGCTACAGTACTCTGACATCATTGCGAGCAGCGAGACCATCCAGAAGCTTCTGCATCTAAGGTTCCAGGCCCCCATGGTGGTCACGTGTGGCGCGCGTATATACCTGGCAGCTGCTGAGCCAAGCATGGCGCAACACACCGGCCTGCAATATATCATGTTGTCTGTGGTCCACGAAGTTTGCATCGCAAAGTTCGCGACCCCATGAGTCATATTTCCTCCGATGCCATCCGCCTCATCAGAGGCCGTGAGCGGGAGCTGGTAGTCGGCGACCAAACGAGCGTAGTCCTGCCAAGCCAGTTTTTGAGGGTTGGCCCCTGAAGCCCCAAGCAGATCAGCTATCCTGGAAAATGGGCATGATTTGACCCACTTCCTCCAGCGAACCAAACACAGAGCCGAAATCACAAGCAAATTGCACTCCGTTGGTTGCAGCAGATCTACGGTGGTCAAAGCACACCAGAGACACCCCTTGATCTTGTCGCTCTGTCACTGCTCAGATCCCTTTGCATCAAGTTACAATCTGTAAGCCGGGCAGGCTTGAAAAGTAGACAACTACCAACGAACTTCACTAACATGCTGCTTAACGGGCTCAAAAAACATTGCCGCCCACAATCGAACCCGTTCCGCCTGAAGTGTGGTAGCATACAACGGAACGTAATGCTTACAAGCTTTGTGGTCCGAGGACCTCCAGCTGAAGCATCCCATCTGCATCCGAGTCATAGGCTGCAAACCAGTGGCGGAGGATGAGCTCAACGATCTCAGGGAGAGTGGTACTCAGTAGGACCGTATTATTGGTGATGCAAATGTCAGTAAGCTGAAGGGTCGATTTTGCAAAACAAGACTTATCGAGCTCCTGTAGACCTGGCGCTAACGGGAGTTGCTACATCGCCTGTGCTGGGTTGCTCCCAAGCATGATTCGCAAGCTGCTATGGCACCCCTGGAATGACGCGAAAAAACCATCAGCATTGAAGTTGCGAGCAGTCGCTGTGGCTGTCACAAACCTCACTACTTCAATGTGTATTCATTGCTGCGAAGCTTGCATGCAGTAGTGGGGCAGGCTTCTTAGGCGAGGCAGATGCAACGGCTAAGCCTGCACAAAATGTGTTGCCATGATTTCTTGCAAATGGCGGCATTACATCCACCCTATGAAGCCTGGAAGGCCAGAATAATCAGAAAGGAGTTGAGGCGGGCCTCGTGGTGCGTTGGTGAACGGAGGCCCCTGGACGCGGCCCTCATAAACCCTGCAGCTGGAGCCCTTGCCTTCCGAATCAATTGTCAAATAACAACCGCCTGAATCCAGGGCATCCAAAGAGCCCATCATACCTAATTGAGAAATCAACCATCAATGGTCGCAGGATGCCTCTGTATTGTGATTGTATGCATATGTTCCTTAGTCGAGGGGTTTTGGGCTCTCTGGGCACAAAGCCATCAAGAATAGAACCCGGCCCGCTCATCCACGAAGAATGCCACCAGAGGAGTTGCGCGAGGGTCTTGACCCGGCGATCGTGGGGTCACATCCTGAAGAGAAGGGGAACAACTGTAAGCTACTATACACTAGATCATTCAAATCTACTAGTACGCAGTACGCTTTGCTTTCTGCTGCACGCATGTTCACCCAGCTTTCCAAACTGCCTCAACACAAATGAAGGCGGAACCCCAACCAAGCACACGGCACAGACGGTAATGTTTTTCAACCGGTATTTCACAGGGTTCCATGCTAGTTTTGGGAAGGGTATTTTTGTTGAGACTCTCCTGCTGGGCCCAAAAACGAAACACGGGAAGCCTGTTTTCCCAAACCCGAAACCCTGAACCAAAACCAGCGGCCACCCTGCTCAGCATGTCTTAGCAGGGATACGCCTTGATTTGCCCAACGTCCCGAGGTCATTACTTCAGAAGCCCTTCCTGAAAGGTTCATGGCTAGTTCTAAGTGGGGTTACAAGTAGGAGAACTAACATGCCTATAATCCACTCCACCTCATATTATGGGTTCAACTAGTACCCCCCGCTATACTACCCCCCCCTAGGTTCCCCCTTAATTAACCTTAATTAAGCCTAATTAGCCCTAAATAACCTCAATTAAGGGGGGAACCTAGGGGGGGTAGTATAGAGGGGGGTACTAGTTGAACCCATAATCATATCAACCCCCCACCCCCTAAAATGAAATACTCGCCATGGTGGTACACTATTAATATAATGTTTTGGGAATATCTAATATTAAGGGGAGTTCAATACTGTGGGAGGGGGCTAATCTTGCCTAGGAGGCCCGGAACCCCACTGCTGCTCATCCAGGAATCAACCCTAAACCCTAAACCCCTAAAAACCACCTGATCTTCGTACTCATCTCTCTTTTTTAGCAAGGAAGGAAGGATCCTTACGGTACTTTCTATACTACTATATATATATATATAAACCCTCAAGAATACAGTAGCTTCCGGCCAGGTCCTATATTCCCTAGTTCCCATTTCATTTTCCATTTGGTTCACCATTATAGTAATTTCAATTTTCTTTGCAATTCCCTGCAGCCCTGCGTACTGTAAGCCCTGAACATTCGCTCCCATTTTCTTTTCCAATACCCCGAAACATTCCCTGTGAACAGAGGTAAGCCCAATGCTGCCAGACGAAGCTGTGGCTAACTAAGGCGCGTGCCACAACGCCCGCATCGAGCATTAGCTGCTGGAACTCACTGAACTTCATGATGTTCATCTCCTTACAGAAACAGTATGTAGGAACCACGGAAAGCACCGATATATTATAATATCTAATATACTTGACATTTACTATAGTATGATGAAAATATACTATCATATACTTAAAATATACTATAATATACTTAAAATGTACTATAATATTCTATAATATACTTAAAATGTACTATAATATACTATAATTTACTTAAAATGTATTATAATATGCTATAATATACTTACAAGACTACATAGTCCTTCTTCTGGGGACCCCCAAAAAGGGTATCCTAGGGCATTCAGGCCTGGTACCTTGCTGGCCTGATCCTTCTTGGAAGGTTCCGCGGCGGAACGAAAGATGTGGCAATATCCGTTCCGGTATATTACATAATCGAGTATATTATTAATAAACTATAGTATAATATATTATAACTTACTATACTCCATATATATATATATCACAATATACCATAGTATAATGTAATGTATTATAGTATATCATGACATGTTATAGTATATTATAGGCTTCTTTCTCGCATGACACACCAACCAGGTGCCTCCCTGCCCGACTTGCTCTTACTAGGATGCTAATTCCGATCCGACAGGACAATGCTAGCATGGTGCAAAAACGCATGAAGAAAGCACATCCACTTTTGCCCAGAGCCATAGCCTGTGGGAGTACCATACTCTCGGGTCTCTTACGTAGAAATGGTACATATCAACATGGCAATGGAAAACTAGTCTCTGGCTCGTGATCCTATGTCTTGAAGCATTGATCAAGCTCTGCCGCAGGCTCTGAATTGCTCAGATGGAAGATATCGTTCTCGCTGAACAGGATTTCGCTTGCTGTTGGAACGGAGCGCTTGCTGAAGAACACCTGCCACAGCGTGCCCTGGTGCACACCACAAACAGTTTTCTACATGCAGCACATTGCGCGTTCTCTCTATGTCGCTGATGTTGACAGCAAGGGGTTAGGAGTTCAAATCTTGTTGCACCAACAGAAAAGGCTCGGCCGTTTCGGGACACAAAGCCGGTGACTGGATCCTGGTGAAGGGCATAGTAGGGATACTGGCTTAAATTTGCATGCGCCGCCTTACTGCATGTACTCAATACACTCCTGATGTTCACTTCATGATTCCTATGGCAAGTTGCACCTCCGTCACATGTTGGATATGCTGGTTTCTGGGGCCCTGATACTGATGAGATGGGTGCTTCCTGATGTTGCACGGGAGCCTAACTAGTGGCAGCCCCTGAGAACCGGAGGCCATACATTTCAACAGAAGCCAAACAGAACATGTGCTGGCTCTCGTCAGAATTAATGTACCATGCTTTTTACCTTCAGAAACAAAGCCAGGAGCAATGCTGGCCCTCAACAGAACAGGACCCCCACCTACTTCTGAAGAGATCACGAATTTGTCAAATCTAACATAACAACCCCCCTCCCCCACCCTGTATGAACTGTAAGGATACTGCTACTATGATATATCATAATATACTAGGATGTCTTATACTATCCTCTACTATAACATACTATAACCTACTATGATATACTGAGCCTCGCTCGCCCTGTCGGCCGTGTCGAACAGCTTCGTCCTCAAGAGCGCTTTGACAGGAAATGGGCTATAGTCTTAACTCCTCAAAGGGGGCTATATAGGGGATCATATAGGCGAGTGCCACTAAGGGTATACTAGCAGTTCAGACTATAGCTCAGATGGGTGTAGGGCGAGCGACTCGGTCTTTATAGGAAACCAGGTGGTCAAACGCGGAACGTACATCATTTCATAGGTGCTTTCATTTTCAAAGGCAGAAGTAAGTTCAAATCTTCCTCAGCGGCCGGGAGCGAAGAGGGCGGTAGCTTGCGGCGGGGACGGGGCGGCTGTGCTCCCTAAACCCTCAACCCTGAAACCCTAAAACCTTAAACCCTAATCCCTAACAGCTTCCAGTCTTCCAGTTCCTTCTCCATAATCCCTATACAACCCCAATTCCGGGACTGTCTAACCAAGTGGGAAGGCGGCCTTCTCACTCCGCTTCTGGGTTCTTTCGCCCCCTAATATAGGGATAATATAGGATAGCATAGGGGTAATAGGGTGATATACAAGGCAGCAACAAGTGCCCTGGAGATCCCTAGGTGCTGCTCAGCCTGGCATTACCTAGAACTCGTTGGAGAGGCCTTCTGCAGAATTCGAGGAACTCAGAGAAATTGATCTGGCCGTTGCCGCTCTTGTCCACTTCCTGATCGCTCCGCAAGCTGTTCTTTTGTTAAACTGAATAGACTTTTTGGAAACACAAAAAAGCATTGCATGACCTTCTTATAGCAAGACACAATAATTCCCAAGGTATCTGGGTCATGCAGGATGTCTAGCATGAGCCATCAGGGGCGTTATGGTGCATGGCTCAGGTCTACTACAGCAGTATGCTGGTGTTCTGTGAGTGGTGCCATGGCCACTCATCCTCTTCCTTTAAGAACGACATTGACTTTTGTGCATACTGTTGATTACTACGTGGTGCCATGCATGCCTGGATGCTGGCAAAGCAGCACCGTGTTCGAGGCGGATTCAGGCTGTCAATGTTAGTTGAGACTCTGCTGTCCACGTGAGTACAATGTTGAAATCAGCGTCCCGAGGCAAACAAGCACGGGGCCTAAAACCAGGACTGCCATGGATCCATCAGGGAAATGTGGGATCTGCGAAAAGGTTATGAAGGTCCCTACAAAGGATCCCATACAACCAATTTTGAACTCCCAAGGTCCCAAGGCATCCCTATTGCAGGGTAGAGACAAGGCTACTGGCAAAGCTATGATGACTGAGCTTTGGCGATTAGCCTTTTTGTGCGCAATCTCATGAGCAGCCCTTTATTGTGAAAGAGGCCACACCACATGGAAACGTGTGATAAGGTTGGGCAGTTGGGGCCCATATATAGCATACATATACACACATGCACACGTACACACACGCACATACATATTCATATAAATATACACACACATATATATATATGTATATTTATATGCGTGTATACACACATATATATATATGTATATATCTGCTCACCGCCCCCCCCCCACCCATGATCCACCGGAGAAAGGTTTCCGGGTTCATTTTTTAAAAAAATAGAAGCCCTACAAAAACAATCCAAATCTAGAACATGCAGGAAAACCCTCATTCTAATCGCATTTCTTTTGGGTGCCATTATATGACTTCCTTTAGAAAAGCTATGCGGTAGAGGCGCGGAGTGTAACACAGATCCCTACACCCTTTTGATTTCTTATTCTCTCCACCCAAATGAAGGAAATCCTGGATTCCTCCTTGTTTTGGCGCTGGTTCCAGTCCATATACATTCCTTAACAAATTCAATAAGCTAATACGGAAAGTCTGGAATCCTGGATTTCTGCTTTGTGAGTTTCCCCAGAGCCAGCTGAATTCTTTGAACACCACCTGTACCCTAGGAAAACAACAAACCAAAAACAAAAAAACAACAAAAACTTTGTGGGGAACCATGGTGGCTACTAATTTTTGGCTTTAGGGAGAAGTTGTTGTGGCTTGACATAAACTTTTACATGAGAAACAGTTGGTTTCTCTAAAAACCCAAAGCCAACTTTCTCAAAAACCACCTACTTCCCACGATAACATTGTTTTGCAAGCCCGGGCCTTTAGCAAAAAAAATACTCTAGGAAAAAGTAGGTTTCTTCATGCAGCAACAATTTTGTTCTAGGAAAACACAAGCAACTTTGTTAGCAGCCACCATAGTCCCCCAAAACATCTTTTTTGGTTTGGGCTTCATTGCTTAAATTGAACCGGTTCCAGTCCATATACATCCCTTCTTAAACCAATTAAACTACGGACGATCAGTATGTTAAGAAATTCTATCAAACAAGAAATGAGACCCTGGATCCACTGAAAATGAAATATTTGAGAGTCTCACTCGGCGGAAAGACTCGGGTTCGCATCAAACGTTTAGAGCTGAGGCCTCGGAGGGGCTGGGGAAGCTCGGGACGCCCTGGGATTCCTGGAGAGGTTCTGAGAGGTTTCAATAGAGAGCGAAACAAAGTAGTGGCAGCCACCAATTCGTTTTAGCGTTTTGCAGGGGTTGGGATTCGAACCAGGGACCTTTGGGTTTAGAGTGCCACTAATTCGTTTCGCTCTCTGTGAGGGCCTCTGTCCCACGACCTCCCGAGCCTCCCAGAGCCTCTCCAGGGGCCTGGAGTCTCTCGAGCCCCGCCAAGCCAACTCTTAACCCAAAATCCTTGGTTCGAAGCCCACTCCCCTGTACAGTGCCAGGATGAATTGGTGGCTGCCACTAACGTGTCTTGAGCCTCCCCACCCTCCCAAGCTGGCAACTCTAATACATATCCCAAGATTTGGATTCAAAATCTAGGGGGTTGAATAAAAAAGAAATGTGTACGAGAGTCTGGGGCCCATTGTTACATGTCTCGTACCCCCCACCAAATTAAGAAATATTGAGACTCTGACACGGGGACGTAATTTTCTGAACATAAAGTTTGACCGTAGTGCGAAAAGTCTGGAATCCTGGACTCCTGCTTCGTAAGTTTCCTCAGAGCCAGCCGAATTCTTGGAACACCACCTATCTCCTAGGACAATTCAAGAACAAACAAAAACACACCTTTTGGGAACTATGGTGGCTGATAGAAAGGTTTTTTTGTTTTCCTAGGCAAAAGTCGGCTGGTTCTGCTTGAAACCAGGTTCTACCTTGGAAATACATTGTTTTTGTGAAGGCCTGGGCTTGAACAACCTACTTCTACGTAGGAAAAAGTTGAAAATTCCTAAGGCAAACTTTCTCAAACACCAGCTATTTCCTAGGAAAAACTTGGTTTCTTCGAGCAAAACCAACTTTTCCTAGGAGAACCACAGAGACAATGTTTTAGCAGCTGCCATAGTTTCCAAGCAAGCTTTTTGGTTTGGATAAGTTGTTGGCCTCATTCCTTATTCTGATCTGGTTTCGGTTCAATTTGTTTAAGTTGTCCATGCTTCCTGTTGTTTTTTCAGTATGCTCGCGTTATTAACCAAGCACAATGGTGCTGATTTAGGCGAACTCATCTCAAACCCAATGCGAATCTGGACGTTTCCAAAATCCGATCATCCCAAAACATTTGCTTTTAGCTGTATGTACAGTGTTTTCAAGTTGTCGGAGGATCATGCGGGGGTGTCCACATATGTATATATATATATATTACGCGTCCCTGCATGACCCCCGTAACATCCAGTACAACCCTATATAATGCCGTGATTTATCCCCATGTACTTCCAAAGACCGCAGTGGATGCCTCAAACAGCACGTGCAGCATGTGCAAGAGTGAGAAGGGCACCGCAGTGCTAGACCTTATGAGGGATATTTCGCCGTTGCGGGTTTGGGGTTATCAAGGGTTTTAATCCTTGAGCGCAGGGTACGTCTTCCAGGTGTTTGGGTGGGGTCGAGGGGTGTGGGGGCGCGGGGGAGTGCCAGGTGGGGGGTGCGGGGGCTTTTGCCCTCACTTGCACCCTCGCAGATACACATCCCCCAGTACCCGCACCCCAAATTTGCAGCAAAATCTATCCGTATTCTGCAGCTTTTGAGGCTCTTTGGTCTGGGGGACAATGATTGCCTGTGCTGTCAGAACAGGCTTCTTCAGCACTTGTCATGGGCTTGTGACAAAGATCCGCGTTATGACTGCCGCGTGCTCAGGGGTGGTCATGTTGGCAGGTCTTCAGCAGCTGCACCTTCTGGGCCCATGGGCTGGTGGACCCCAGTCGGACCGAAACTGTAAATGCAATGAGGGATGTCTCGCACACATGTCTGGCAGAAATCCGTATGGTCACACAGCAAACACCCTAAACCCTACTTGGAGGGTCATGTGGACTTCCATAGGGGTTACAGGGGTTATTCACCTACTTACTGAACCCAATGACCCTCCAAGTAAACCCTAGACCCTATAAACCCTAAACCCTATAAACCCGGTAAACCGTAAACCCTATAAACCCTAAACCCTTTAAACCCTATAAACCCTATAAACCCGACACCATATAAACCCTATAAACCCCATAAACCCTATAAACCCTATAAACCCTAAACCCCCATAAATCCTACAAGGGGGCAGGCCCGCATGTCTCGGTTTCTGACACAAGGAAGCCTGGCCTCTCACCCCCACCAAACTGGCGCGCACGACTATGGTTATATGTATATATGTTACTGTGTTACTATATATTTCTAGATATTCCTCTATATATAAATATACTACGATACATTTCTAGATATTACTATGTATATATTTCTATAGA